ACATTTTAGAAGAATACTCGAATAGTACGTTTCCAGAGCCGCCAAGAGAAATCTTTAAATTTATTTAAATTTCAGGGTTGGTAGAGTCACAAATGGAAGAGAAGACGAGAAAAAGGAGGAAACTAAAGAAGTTAGAGGTGTGTAGAACTGCAAGAAAAAGAGCAGGGTAAATTACATTGCATCTCTGTATGTTGAATACATATAGTTTATGTCCCACAGAGCTAGACACTATCACTGAGAGGTTCAATGACATGTTAAGAACCCACAGATAAATACAGAGAAATAAATGACAGTATTAAAAGGAAAACTTTGCATTTCCATGGTACAACAATGGAAAGTCTTCTGATAACTGCCTTGGGGACAACTGCCTATTTATTAATTTAATTTGTATATGAGACAATTATTCAAATATGGTCTATCACTTTGCATGTCACAGGGTGGTTCTTAAATTCTGAACCCCATACACAGCTAAAGACAGGTCCAAAAATTTCTTTCATATATTAGCACACATCCCAGTTAGTACTCAGACTGTTAAGGGGGATACACTCTGAAAGGAATTTGGTCACACAAACACACAAAGGCAAAGGAAGTATACTCTTAGTGAGATATATCTATATGTCTATATAGATATATGTAGATACACACACACAAACACAAACACACACACATAAAAAGAGATAAAAGCATTCAAATAATAGTTTTCCAATAAAAATCCAAAAATTACCCATCCCCTCATGGGCAAATTCCCAGCCAAGAAAGCTTGTCCTGAAATGAAATTGCTGAGGCCTAAAAGCTTGTCTCAATCCTAAATTACCTTCTGGTGGGAAACCACAATAAAGACATCAGGCAAGGTCTAGGTAGCTGTGACAGAAGCAGAGACTCAAAATTCAAAATATACTGTATAATCCATCCTAAAGTCAAGCCACTAGGCTGCCATTATCTCTCTCAAGAACCATTATCTCTGCAGCTTTCCCATGTGTCTCTTGCCTATATGTCTCTAACAAATGTCTCTTCCAGATGTCTGTCCATGTCTCTCCTCGATCTCTTCACACGTGCCTCTCCCTCCATTTATATCTTCACCTTGCTCCTTCCCAGCTTCCCCCCATTCAGGAAGTCTGTTCCATGGCATGCTGGGCCTTGTAGTCCAAGGCAACTGCCTGTAAGTGGGGGTGGAAAGAATGACACCCATTCTATGATCCTACCCCAGTCATGGAGGTGTGTCTGTAACACATATACTGTCTAGCTCTGTGCAGTATTAGCTTTGGTATACCCAAATATTGTGTTTTGGGAATTACTGTGATATACTGGAGAGAACACAAATTATTAGCTGTGATGCTCTGGAAACATTTCTGATCTTCACTGAACAACAGTTCCCTCTTCTGTAAAATGAAAATAGAATATGATAATACTTATTATCTGTTACTGGTACTTATTAGTGATAATTTGTAGAAAGTATCTGAAATAGTGCCTAACACATACATAGAGCTCAATAAGCAATTGTCTTTACTGCAAAACTCATTATTGTCTTGTTGTTTGAATGCACTATTTGCTCTCTTTCTTGGAATAAGTAGGCAAAAGATTCTGTCATTCTTCATGTTCCTTTTTTCATTGAGTACAAGGTGATACTTCCAAGGCATTTACTATATTTTGTTATATTTATGATAATTTTTCCATGTATTTCCTCTTGTGTCACTAAATAAGGCTGGGTTTTCTCATTTTTATTTTGAGCTGCTTCTACCAAGCAGGAAGGGGCAAATTTCATTCCTTCTATGTAGCACAGAACAATAGACAACCATATTGTTCTACTAAGGACTATTTTATATTATCTTTTAGGTTCACCTTGGATATAAATTAAAGCATAAAGGTAATAGCAAAAAGTATCTAAGAATGGCAACTCAAATTTTCCCTTTCCTGCTCAAAGATTTCTTAAAAATTCTCAACCATCTAATTCTATTAAAAGTTATCAATCCTAAGGGCAAAATAATAAGTCAAATGCTTCCATTTTAGTGTGCCTCTTCTTTGATCAAGTGTTTCACTTTTAATATAGTGACTTCTGGCAGAATTTAATGATTTTATGAATTTCTTCTTGGCTTCAGGAAAAGGACTGCCATTTTATGATGCTCGTATTTCCCTGTCTTCTTATTTGGTGATTGAATGATGGTTAGTATTTAGACAGAGTTGTTATTTTGAGAGTTTCATGCAGATTGCAATAATTCACTTGTGAAGTGTTTAAACAAGGCAGTTGATATATCACAAAATTCTTTTCTTTCCCCCAGGGGTTAGCTCTTGAAACTCATGAGGGAATAGAGGAGATTACTTTCTGATATCTCCTGAAATTATGTGGCATCATAAGGTTGCTGTTCCTAAGGGGAGGAAAACAAACAAAGCTTGTGGGGAAAAGAGCAGATACACAGCAGACTTCAATCTAGCTAAGAATACACCTTGATTTACAACTGTGTATCCACATATATTTTTAATTTCATAGCACACACATACCCAGTTGCCTGACATTGAACGAGGTTTTCTAGGAGTCAATTTACTGTACCTAGCAGGCCCCAATAACTTCACTTTGCTTTAAGCAGTCCCACAGAAGTGCACAAAATGGATTTGACATTGAGTAAATAACCCAGATATTTCAGCCTTCTGCCAAATAGCTGCTGAAGTGTTTCTACGTCAAGGCTGAGTCTCTTGTAATGGTGGTTAACGACTCTGCTCTAACAAGACGTGGCCATGGGTTACTGCTGATCTGAGAGCAAAAAGGAAACCATAATTCATCTGATGTGGCTTTTTTGCTGGGGAACCTGTTAACATTGACAAATGACAAACCATCACACAAAATCCTGCGTAAGTTGCATGTACTTTGAGAGCCAGCCCTTTCTCTGACACATCTTCCTCCTGCACTATTGAATGTAGACAGAGCATGGCCAAACACTGAGAATTAAGACCAGGTCATTATTTTCTTTACAAGCGGGGAAATTTTCTTTACAAATACAAAAAAGAGATCTATGTTTTCAAACTGCTGTTAAGTGTGGTCAATTTGATCACTTATATTCAATTACCAAAAAAAGGAAAAGAAAAGGAAAAAAGGCATATTATACATACCATAGCTCTTTACTCATAATGCTTCCTAACTCATTCATACAAATGTACATGCACACAGCTAATATGTATTAAATCCTTACTATGTGTAAATCATTGGGACAGTACTTTGTGGGGTATAAAGATAAAACAGATACAGTCCCTGGCCCCAAGGACTTGAGAAGAAATTGCAGCAAAGCTATATATACCCAACACTATAACATAAGAGAACATGGCAAGAGAGCATGTAATAGGTTGTCAGGGATGAGGAGGTTACTCTTGCTAGAATGTTCTAGGAAAGCTTGTAGAAGAAGCTGGTCGCAGGAGTCTCATACAGAGAAAGTATAACATTCGGAGTCAGAGGTGATTTTATCAGAGAAAGCAACATGAATAAACATACAGCAGTGGGCTTCTGCCATGTGTTGTGGGTGACAGGCAAGAGACCAACCTGAAAACAAAATATAAAATCTAAGTATACTATAGAGCTAGCTTAGTCCCAGAATGTGTAGGACCCCAACTGCTAGAAGTTTTTTTTTTTTTTTTCTGACATTAAAAAGCTGTTTAAGTTTCTGGAGAGTGACATGATTAAAAAAATGTGTTAGAAAGATGGATTTGATGGTGGCATGTAGTGTGGACTATGCATCTTCATTTTAGAGATGAACGTGCTTAAAGAAGGTCCTGAGAGAATTATCTACTGTTGTTTTTATTTTCCAATTGAATAGTCTGTCCTTTAGCTTAAAAAATCAGAGTTGACTACTCACGAATAGTAATTCACATTTACCACCCATATTTTTCATTCTTAGATATTAACTAAGATAATTGGGGTGTCTATCCTCCCTCCTTTCTTTTTAAAAAATATTTATTTATTTATGCATACTTATTTATGCATAAAGATTTATTTATTTGCAGGCCAGAGGTCCAGGGGGTGAGAGTATTCACCAGAGACAGAGTGGGGAACAGAACAGGCTGAATGACCAAAGTACACTGCTGAGGGGAGCCGTGGGCAAGTCAGGAGAGGCCTGCTGTGCCATGTGGGTAGCTCCCTGGCCAGGGATAGAACTTGTGCTGCAGTGGCTGCAGATAGCTTTATAGGTTGCAACTTAACCCCTTGTGCCACCAGGGAGGCCCCTCCCTCCTTTATTAATCTTAGAATCTTAGAATATCAATGATTCTCAAAATTGTCTGAGTTATCTTACTAGTTTTTGATTTTGTATATTTTCTTCTGATAATCAATGAAGTTCTAGGATTAAATATCAAATTATTTTCAAATATTAGGGCCTCTCTGGTGGTGTAAGGGTTAAGTATCACCGCTATCACTATCACAGCCTGAGTTCGATCCCCAGCCAGAGAGCTAACCCACATATGGTGTGGCAGACCTCTCCTCTCCTGTCTTGTCCAGTGCTCCCCTCAGCAGTGTATTTCAGTAAATCTGCCTGTTCTGTGCCCACTCTGTCTCTGGTGAATCCTCTCAACCACACACCTCTGGCCTGCACCCCATTTTGTCTACACACAAGTAAATAAATCTTTTTTAAAAATTATTTTCAAATATTTACACTGGCCTCTAGAGGTATGATTGGTGTTGGTGATCACTGTTCGCTATCTAACGCTAAAAGATGGTGAGTCAATAATATTGCTGTCAAAGTCCTTTAAATCAGTGATTCTGCTAAACTCAGAAGATCTGGTCTCACTCAGTCTCCTGTCTTCCTAGATAAAGCATGAGGGTTCTCTCACTCAACATCCCATCTGGACTAGTATTTCTACCACACACCATGGTTGGATCTATAGAAAAAGTTCTCCTCAAATAGCTCAATTTTAGGAGTTGGGATACATTGCAATTCCACTTGCCCTCTTACACTACAAAGACTAGAAAGTTAAAATATGCATTTCCCATACTCATTACTGAATTTCTGCTTGTAATCTAGGTTTTGCTGACAAGAAACTTGCCAGCAGAAGAGAGCAACATAAGGAGGCAGTCACACTTTGGGGAATCAGATGTTCAGGTAAACAAGATGGCAGGAGGGGTTTGGCTGTGGGACAGCTGTTGTGAATTGTCTTCTTTCCCATTCTTAGTATTATAGGTGCTAAGCACTTGCTAGAACAATCTCTCTGAATGGTTGATCATTTCTGCTAGCTGGGTCCAAACTTTGTTTACATCCTACAAGTTTTGATCACTGCTTAATATCCTGTAATAAATCTTTCAGCTCAAGGTAGCCAGAGTAAATCCTGTTATCTGCAACTGAGAATCTTGAATAAGCTCTAGTTGGCCATGAACGCTAGCTAATATAGAGCTTTTCCAAAGAAGCAGAATGGTCCAGCAAACCAGAGTTGTCTAGAATTCTGAAGTCAGGGCGTGACAGAGTCATACTCCTTCCAAAGGCTTTTGAGAAGAATCTTTCCTTGCCTTTTCATAGCTTCTGGTGAATTGCTGGTAATCCTTGGCTTCCCTTGGACTGCAGCTGTGTCCTACCCATCTCTGCCCCTGCTGTCACATGATCTTTTTCCCTCCTATGTCTACTCTGCATCTCTCTGTCTGAATCTCCCTCTCCTTTCTCCTATAAGGATATGGGTCATTGAATTTGTGAGCTCACCTTTATCCAGTGTAACCTTGTTTTAACCAATTATACCCCAAAAGATCTTAAAAACTTCAATTGTATTGCAAAGATCCTATACCCAAATAAGGTCACTTTCTGAGGTTACAGATGGACAACAATCTTTGAGAGACACTATTCAATCAGAACAGTAATCTAGGGCCTCCCCTGGTGGCACAGCGGTTGAGCACTGGGCTGCAAAGCCACCCTCAGCCTCTGTGGCGCCATTTCGATCCCTGGCTGCCGGCGAGGGTCCCACATGGCGCGACAGACCTCTCCTGCCGCCCCTGCTGCTCCCCTCAGCAGTGTATTTTATAAGTCTGCCTGTTCTGTTCCCCACTCTGGCTCTGGTGAATTCTCTCACCCTCCCGCGCTTCTGACTGTACCCAGTGGTTGAAGAAAGAGAGAGAGAGAAGAGAGAGAGAGAGAGAGAGAGAGAGAGAGAGAGAGAGAGAGAGAGAGAGAGAGAACAGTAATCTAGTACAAAATAGTGCTATGGAATACCCCCTTTAACAGATAATATAGGCATGTTAAGCCTTGATTGACATATTTAGTAAAATTACAAAAAAAATGTTAAGCTACTATGCTATAGAAAAAATGAATAAGGCAAAAGTTAAGGATTAGAGAGCTAATATGCTATTATTTGCATTCCACATCGCACTGTGCTTCAGTCACAGGCACTAATCAGGAAGTTACCATTGAAAAAACTTTGCTTTGAACTCACATAAATCCAGCTCTACCTCATTGGTTCAAAAAGATTTAAAGCAAGTATGTTTTCTCCCTTTATTGAATTTGCAGTTTAGCAGGAAAGTCATATAAAACACTTACTATGCAAATAACTGTTTAAGTAGCTTATAGTAGATACTTTGAAGGAGAATATGAGTCAAGATCTAACCAGACACCAGAGAGGAAACAGCACCTAGTCCGAAACCTTAATTTGCTTGCCATGTGTGTTTGTGCAGGTTGGGCACTGTACAAGCCCAGGGGCTGCTTTTCCATTGTATTCTGTATAAATGTTGTTCCTCAGTCTTTTGCAAAGCACAGTACATACAGTTGAACATGGTAGCCCTACCTAATTATGGATAGGAATTAGATGAATAGTATTAAGCAGATTGTGTGTGGGTACACCTGGTGATAGTGTTAAAAAAGAAGATAAACATTCCATGTAGAGGAGACAGCACATTACAAGATCTTGACATGGTGCAGCAGGAGAGGGGAGAAAAAGAGGGCTTAATAGGGAAGGGAAGAATGCAAGGGACTGTGGTGATGGGTCACACAGTGGGAGAATTAGGGAGACTACACCTGGGGGGAGAAATTAAATACTGTACAAAATTGAACAACTATATAAAACAAACCAAAAAGATCCTGATGTAAGATAGAGCTTCACCTTCTTAGCTACCTGATATAAGGGGAAATTATCTATCTCTCAAAACCACAACTATTTCATTGGTCAAATCAAGCCTTCTAGTATGAACTGAAGCACCGTGAGGAAGTACAGTGCCCTGCCTGGGGTAGTGTTCAGTTTTTGTTTTCTTTTATTTCCTAATAAGCAAGGTGAACTCAGGGTCACCAGTTTGCCACTTAATTGATAGCAGTTTCTTAATTCACACTTCTGCCACTAAAACTCGAGACCCTACAACCAGCAATGTCTGCTAAGTGAGGCTTGCTTTCCAGGTAGCTCTGTGACAAAGGAAGTCCACATCAGAACAAAATGAGTTAATTTTGTTAACTCAAGTTAACAAAATCTCAAGTTAATTTAGACTTGAGATGACTAAAAAGAGAACTGAGGGCCTCCCTGGTGGCGCAAGCGATTAAAACACCACACTATGAAGCAGTCCACAGCCTCTGCAGCACTAGTTCGATCCCCAGCCAGCCAGGGAGAAACCCACATGGCAAGGCGGACCTCTCCTGTCTCGCCTGCTGCTCCCCTCAGCAGTGTGTTTCAGTTGGTCTTCCTGTTCTCTTCCCCCACTCTGTCCCTAGTGAATCCTCTCACCCCCCACATCTCTGGCCTGTACCCCAGCTCTTGTATGCATAAATAAATAAATCTTTAATTAAAAAAAAAGAGAGAGAACTGAAATTATGACACTACCCCTGCCTTCCTCACAGTCTACACCCTCCTGCCCGCACTCCATCCAATCTCATCTCTTGCCCAGTGGCAGTTTATGCTATTCTTGATCTTTCAGGAGGCAGTTTATGCTATTCTTTACCCAAGCCCAGACTCTATTCTTTTTCAACATTTTAACTTTATTTCAGTAAAATATACATAATATGAAATTTACTATTTAGATCACTTATAACTATGCAATTCAGTGCTATTAAATACATTGACAGTGCTGTTCAACCATCACCTGATATATTTCCAGAATGTTTTCATCATCCCAATCAAAAATTCTGTATCCATTAAACAGTAAAAACCCTCCCTTTCCCTTTACCTCAGTCCCTGGTAACCTCTGTTCTACTTTCTGTATTATGAATTTGTCTCTTCTAGATAATTTGTCTAAGTGGAATCATATAATATTTGTTTTTCTGTGGCTGATTTACTTCAAGGTTCATCCAAGCAGTGGTGTAAGTCAGTATTTCCTTCCTTTTTATGACAGAGTAATGGTCCATTTTGTGTGGCTATCACAATTCGTTTATCCCACAATAATCATGTTGCAATGCTATTGTTTGGTCCAAAACTGTGAGCACCTTGAAGGTAGATGTATTAAGTAGAATTTCTAAAATCGACCCCCATAAATCTTCTTCCTAAATCCCTGGGACCTGTGCATATGATATCTCTCCTGAAATTAACCTGGATTAGATGTTTTCAATATAATCATAAAAATCTCTAGCAGCACATTTTTTCTGACTGGGGCTAAAGAGAAAGCAGGAAGATCAAAGTAAGAGGAGGATTCCACACACTATTGCTGGCTTGAAGATGGAGAACCATGTAATAAGAAATGCCTTACACATCTGAAAGAGCTGACAGATGCAAAGATACAGGGATCTCAGTCCTAGAAATACAAGAAACTAAATTCACCAACAACATGAATGAACTTGGAAATAGATTTGTCTCAGAACTATACCTGAGTTCTTAGCCTGGCTGACACAGGTGAGATCTTGAGCCGAGAGAGATTTCCTGCTACACCATGCTGAATTTCTGACACACAGAGTTGGAGATTAATAAATGGGGTCTTGGTTAAGTAACTAATTTGTGGTAATTTGTCACTCAGCAATAGAAAAGTACTAAAGCAGGCACTCTGTCTTTTCATATTTAATCCCCATTGTTTAACACAGTACCTGGAATTGATTAGCTCCCCACTAAGAACTAATCAAATAATTGATGGAGAAAGGAGGTAGGAAGAAGGGAAGATGGAATGAAGATCAAAGGAAGGAAAAATTTTTAAATGAAAAAAAGAACAGAAATAGAGGGGGAGGAAGTGATAAAAGAGATCTAGAGTAGGGGAGAGTGCTTAAAAAGGAGTTTCACTGAAAACATGGTGGACATGTATCCCCAAAAGTCTGCATTATCCTTCAACTTCTCCAAAAGTTCACGCTAGTCAATCCACCTTTTATTTTCACTAGATGTTTTAATTATTTAATTGTGTAAACTAGACATTTGTTTATTGTTTTAATGGCATGCTTTGTGACTTGAGTGAACAGAAATCATAAATGGATTTTATTTTAATTAAAAATAGTTAAAATTTAAAGTTTGAACATTTCTGATCTTTTATGCACCCAGGTAGTAAAGAATGGCCTTCTGGCAAAAGTCCCTGTGGGCAGTAAGTGATATTAATTTGTCTGGATTTTGAAGGAACTTGGCAGAAATAATTCTGAATTATTTTTTTGTGAAATTATATGCCTTGTTCTACCTTAAGAAACTAAAGTTGAGTTGATCCTTTACATGACCATATATCTGAATTTTGAATAATGTAAGAGATACCCAAATGTCTGAAATCTTTATGGTTTCCCATGTAAACAGCAGGATAAATAACAGAAAATATCTTCCTCACCCACATACTACAGATCTTGTAATTTACCATTAGAAGTTCGTTTCTTTAGAGTACACACTGATGTTAACCTTGAAGAAATGCAGCTACATTACTGAAAGGAATAAAATGTAAGTTCATTAACTTTTAAATATTATATATCTGGTTCTCATTGCTCATGTGCAAGGGAGAGAAAATCTGTTTGGATAGGAGAACAAGCAAGTGAAACTAATATCAAAGTAAACTGATTTTGTTATTCTCTATAGTGTAAGCCCTGGATGGAAGATTGTAATTAAGTTCTAATTTAGATTTTTTTTTGTTTTTTTTGTTTTTTTTAATAGAGGCATGCTTTATTTATTTGTTTGCTGGTTTGTTTGTTTGTTTTGTTTATACAAGCACTGGGTACAGTCAGAAGCACGGGAGGGTGAGAGAATTCACCAG